GCTGCCAAAAGATGGCCGCCAGGTGAGACTTGAGTGACGACAGCGACAAGCCCCGTTCGGTAAGGTGCAACAAGAACGAAAGGATTGACGGTACCAACGGTCGATCATCGTCCAGGCCCTTTTCGGAAAGGAAAGCCTGGAACCGGTTGAGGCACGCCGAACAGCACTTTTTGGTTGCTGGCTTGTGAGCTGCATCGAGGATCGGGAGAACTCCCGGACACAGAGACCTCAGGACCGGATCCGCCACGCCGAGAGATGCAGAGAAGCGAGGTCAGGGTGGAGGAGCTGACCGTCTTCCCAGGAGAGCAGATCCTGCCAAAGTGGAAGGCGTCTCATCTGCCCCTCCGATAGCTGGAGGAGGACCGAGAACCACAGTTGTCATGGCCATTCTGGCGCTATCAAGATGCAGTTCGTTCGCGCCGACTGGATCCTTTCGATCACCCTCGGGATGAGCGGGAAGGGTGGGAAGAGGTAGAGCAGATGTCTCGACCAGTCTAGAAGGAACGCGTCTCCGAGGCACCCCGGTACCGTGTTCGGAGCAAGCCGAGCACCGAACTGCGGGAGTTGAGCGTTTTGCGGCGACGTGAAGAGGTCTGCGGCCGGGAGGCCCCACTCCCTGAAGATCTTGGCCAGTTCGTCGGGGTTCAACCTCCATTCGTGCGAGGTTGACCTGGTCCTGCTGAGCGTGTCCGCCTCGATGTTGGTCTCGCCTGGGAGGTGAAGAGCTGTTATCAACACCGATCTGGCTACGCACCAGTCCCAAAGTTCCAGTGACAGCTTGAGAAGTTTTCTCGAGCCCGTTCCGCCCTGCTTGTTCACGTAGAACATTGCCACCATGTTGTCCGTAAGAATCTGGACAGACTTCCCGGTGACCAGGAGGGCAAATGCTCTCAGGGCCTTGAATATTGGCAGCAGCTCCAAGTAATTTATGTGGCATTGTCTTTCTTGTGGAGACCAGAGGTCATGAACTGAGAGGTCTCCTGTATGGCATCCCCATGCGAACATCGAGGCGTCCGTCGTGATCGTGACGCCCGGGGGTTCCGGGTGGAACGGAATGCCCCTGCAGACATGCTGGCGGTTCATCCACCAGTTCAGAGAGTCCTTTACCGACTTCGGTACCAGCAGGCGCTTCGCGGCACTGTCCCGCATGGGATTGAAATGGTCCAAGAACCATCTCTGGAGGGGACGGAAGTGGAGCCTCGCCAACGGCGTCACCATCATCGTGGAGGCCATGTGTCCGAGGAGGACTTGCACCTGCTTCGCTGGGACCACTCGGGCTCGACGAACTTTGAGCGCCTCGGCTCGAAGAGCCCTGAATCTCTCTTCTGGGAGAAACACCGACTGGGAGAGAGAATCGAACATGGCGCCTATGAATTTTATGCAAGTGGTGGGCTCGAGATGAGATTTCTCCTCGTTCGGCTGGAGGCCCAGGTCTTCGAGGAGGGAAAGCGTCCTTGCCACCTAAATGCGCAGGAGGTCCGGAGAGCGTGCTGCCAACAACCAGTCGTCTAGGTAAGGGAAAATGCGGATTTTTTCCCTTCTGAGGGCTGCTGCGACCACCGACATGCATTTGGAGAAAGTTCTCGGTGCCGTTACGAGTCCGAATGGAAGAACGTTGAAGACATACATTTGTCCTGCTACCCTGAAGGCCAGGAAGCGCCTGTGGTGTTTTCTGACTGAGAGATGGAAGTAAGCGTCCCGG